CGGCTTTGCCAAGCCGCCCTCGTATCGTCCATCTCTCTCGCACTCATTGATCAGATGCAACATTCCGCGGCTCGTCAAAGGGACACCTGGCGCACACACACACTCGCAAAAATACAGGCAGAGCCCGGGTGCGAGAGAGATAGAAAACAGACAGGGAGCCCGCCTATGTGTGCGAGAGAGACAGAAGATAGCCAGGGAGCCCGCTAATGTGTGCGAGGGCGACAAAAAAACAGCCCTGGAGCTCGCTAATGTGTGCGAGAGAGACAAGAAACAGCCAGGCAGCCCGCTAATGTGTGCGAAGGCGACAAAAAAACAGCCCTGTAGCTCGCTAATGTGTGCGAGAGAGACAAGAAACAGCCAGGGAGGCCGCTTATGCGTGCGAGAGACACAGAAAATAGTAAGGGAGCCCGCTAATATGTGCGAGAGAGACAGAAAGCAGCCAAGGAGCCCGCTAATGAATGCGAGAGAGACAGAAAATCGCCTGGTTGAACGCGTATGAGTGTGCGAAAGAGACAGAAAACAGCCAAGGAGCCTGCTTATGTTTGCGAGAGAGAAAGAAAACAGACAGGGAGCCCGCTTATGTGTGCGAGAGAGACAGAAAACAGCCAGGGAGCCCGCTTTTGTGTGCGAGAGAGACAGAAAACAGCCAGAAACCCCGCTAATGTGTGCGAGAGAGACAGAAAATCGCCTGGCCCGACGCTTGCGTCTGCGAGAGAGACAGAAAATCGCCTGGCAGAACTCGCGACATCTCTTCGCAAAGGTATCAATCATCTCATTCCCCCACGACCTTCCGAGAGTGGATACCCTGCTAAAAATGGTAAGTACGAATGAGTAGAAAATCAAAGTCATATGAATAGAATTTAACGCATATGAGCGGACTTTCTCCATTCACTTTTCGCCGACTCATATGACAAGAGATTTCAACTCACATGAGTTCAGCGTTGAATCTACCTTGTCCGATATCTCAGAAACTAGTCAACGCATCAAAAAAATTATAAGAACAAAATGTTTTTATTTTTTAAATTTATAAATTATGTCGGTGTCTCCTGTTCAAAAACACCACTTCTGAAAATGAAAAAAATTGAATTCATATGATTTGAAATTCTATACTCTTATGAGTAGAATATTCTAGTGTTACGAGTAGGATTTCTACTCATATAATTAGGAATTTCTACTCATGTGAGTCGGCGAATTCTGAATAACCTACTCATCATTTTTAGCAGGGTGCACCCTCCGTTGCTCCTTTGGTAGCGTTGACTTGCCAAGCGAGTTGTACTTGTGTGCGAGAGAGACAGACCTGAAAGCGATTAGGTACGTCGTGTACTTACAGCTATTTTTTGTAAATAAAAAAAAAAAAATCAACGAATAAACGGTTGTCAACTGATTTGCGCGTTTCTTTTTTAAACATGATCGCAAGACGTTCTTTTCTACTGTCGCGGCCTGTCGTGCAGCTCTTTCGCATTCATCCCAATGAATTCTTATGTATATTGAAATTTCGAAATTTGAATTTCTGTTTTAAGAGTACAGAAGAACCTAAACTTTTATACTCTGGTTAATTTTGATGAGGAAAACTCAGCCTGGCGGGTATTGCCACAGCCTTGAAGCCTAGCCATGCCACAGAGGATGGTTTCTCCTCTGATGGCAAGAGCATTGAAAAAATTGTGTGTAGGAGGAAGAATGCAATGACTTCCTCCATCTACTCTGTGCAGGACTCTTGTGATATTGTGCGATTACAAACAGTTAAAATTGATGGAGGGTCCGCCTTCCCCTTACAGCAATGTCTACAAGTAATATTGATTAGAGTATGTGTTGATTACAAACAGGTAGCATGTTCCTCAAGAACAGGCTTTCTTTCCTTCGTTCACGCTCACTATATCGGTCAATTCTCTCATTTATAGGTGCATGGATATGGGTACGAGCTCTGCCATTAAAGTTAAGTATTTGCAAATTCAGACTTTTTTGGGGTTCATTTTAGTCACTTATTGTTAGCAGAAAAATTATTGGATAAAAAAATATTAGCTTTATAAAATAGTGTATCAAACTGCAAGACACTTTAGCTTCTTTATTTATGGTTGGGCTTTGCCAGAGGCATTCCAGAAACACATTGAAGATTTAAGGAATGTGATTATTCAGGTGTCTTTCAACAGTTAAAATGCTCACTCAAGAGGGGTACAAAATAATTATGAGATGAACATAAGATATTTGCATTCACTTGCCCTACCATTTTTTTAAAATTAAAAACGCTCTTAGGAGCTTACTGCTCCTTCTTTGCAAACTTGAAGTTGCGGCTATGACTAAGAATTGAGCAACAAGCTCCATAATATGTTGCGGTTATTGAAAAAATGACAATGGGAAAGAAGGCCAAAATTTTATTTTTATTTCATGCTTCAAAAAGCAACCACTTTTTGACTGTAGTCTTAGAATGGTTGAGGGCAAAGGTCAGATTTTAGTTGCATCAAGTGTAGATGCAAAAATGCATCCTTATGTGTAGAGCTTTGCAACTCTGAGCAACTTTTCGATTGTAAGAAAATGGCTGGAAAAGGACACTTGTGTTCACCTGTGATACTTTGACACCTCTGAAAAGGTCTAGCGATAAAAAGGTGATGAAAATGAGTGTATTTTTGATTATCTTTCAAAGGCAACCCAAAATTGAAACCGTCTAAAGTTACTGCAAGAGAATGGTTACTCATAGAGGCATCAAGAAGTGTTTCAATCCGGTACACAACCACCAATGCTGTATTGTGGGATTCATAAACAGAAATAAAAAAAAATGGAATTCTAAAGAGTTAGCAAAAACCACAAACTGTTGTTAATTTTTTTGTCTTTCAACACACGGTAGAAAATTCCACGATGGGCATTACTTTAGTTTGCAAAGCGTTGGAAAAACAAAAATACTAACGAACAGAGAGCGTTGTTCGCTGAATTTCGAGAATTTTGTTCAACTGATGTCCCTTTGCTGTTTTGAAGCTTGTAAAGTGTTTTGGTCAAATGCATATAAAAAAAAAAAACATTATTAAGAAAGGTAGAAAATTTTATTCACTGCCATACAAAAATAAGCTAAAAGAATTAGTAGGTGAAGAGACTGAAGAGGAGGAGATAATTGATAGGCCCCCTCATAGGTGCATTGTACTTTTGGATTATATCACAACAGAATGAATAGAATTTTAAAAAATAATAACATGAAAAAATCAATAAAAGTTGATAATCAGCTACTTACACAAATCTAAAACTCCAATTATGCAACTCAGGACAGAATGAATACATTTTTTTATCTTTATTTTGATCTTCTTCATCAGATTTGACTTAATATCACAAAAACATATAATTCGATGAGCACACTTAAAACTATTCATTTTCTTCTGGAAAAAAAAAAATGTGTTCATTTTTTTTATACTAAGTAATTAATGCCATTCACTGATGAAAATTTGAAATACCATACCATATAGTTAATAATAAAATTAACTGTAAAATTTTTTATTTAGCAAAAATATTAGTAGATTTATGTTTATTTTAGCTTGACCAAACATATCCATGATGGTGACACCTTCGTACTGCTTGCGAAGCAGGTCCTGAAAGCAAGACAAGCATCTCATTAATGGAGGAAACAATTTTTAATACAATTTTTATTTTCAATTTAAAGAGGTTGTCCCATTTTCCATAGGAAATGGCTGCAAGAGCTTTTCCATCCATACTTTCAGGAATCATAACACATCATCAGAGAGGCCTAAATCCGGTGTCATTTCTCGTCTAGCCCCCCAGGGGGAGGGGGGTAGGAGGTCAAAGGTCAAACGCTCCGACTGCCATAACTTTTGAACGAATCATCGGATCAACTTGATCTTGGGCTCAAATGAAAGCTCTTGACAAGACCTTTCATTTGATGTATGGTAATGTCTATTTTTGGTAATATTTACAACGTGAAAAAAATCATTTTTTGATTTTTCAAGCCCAAAAAATTCAGTTTTTCGGGGTTTACTCTAGAAGGGAACGTATAAATCATTACAAAAACCAATTTGAATGAAAGTCCTTGATTCATGCTTTATAACGAGCTATCGTTAAACTTGGGAAAATGAATGGTTCAAAAGTTATGACCGTTCAAAGTAGGCGTGGCGCGCTATTTTCGAAGCGTGCGGAGTGTATACTCGCGTGCCACCCCTCCCTACCTTTTCCCCTGGGGCCTGCTTCAGTTGATAACGGATACAGAAAGGTCCAAAGCTCCTTCCACCTAAAGAATGACCAATCATTAGTGTTAAATTACTATTATTTCTAAGGAAAAAAGGGAAATAAAAATAAATTAAATGCTAATAAACGATAGGATGCTAGCATACATTATTTTATCGCCCCCCTCCCCCTTCTCCATGATTTAATAATTGATGTAGCCATATCAAACCTTTCATCATTACGGTATCTGATTATTCCTGTGCAGGTAAATCTTGATGAGAGAGAAATAGATCGGAGAGAGGTGAGGGAGAGATATTCAGTAGTAAATGCGAGTTTCAAGTGCTGGTCGGCTAGTTGCGTACCACACCCTATGAATATTATCTACAGCTTTTGAGTGTATTTTGCGGTAAAAGAAGCTTGATTTGGCTATTGAATATTAAATCAAGGAGGGGGGGCGATAAAATAATGTATGCCAGCATCTTATCGTTTATTAGCATTTAATTTATTTTTATTTCCCTTTTTTCCTTAGAAATAAAAGTAATTTTACAGTAATGATTCGACATTCTTTAGGTGGAAGGAGCTTTGGACCTTTCTGTATCCGTTATCAACTGAAGCAGGCCCCAGGGGAAAAGGTAGGGAGGGGTGGCACGCGAGTATACACTCCGCACGCTTCGAAAATAGCGCGCCACGCCTACTTTGAACGGTCATAACTTTTGAACCATTCATTTTCCCAAGTTTAATGATAGCTCGTTATAAAGCATGAATCAAGGACTTTCATTCAAATTGGTTTTTGTAATGATTTATACGTTCCCTTCTAGAGAAAACCCCGAAAAACTGAATTTCTTGGGCTTGAAAAACCAAAAAAATGATTTTTTTCACGTTGAAAATATTACCGAAAATAGACATTACCATACATCAAATGAAAGGTCTTGTCAAGAGCTTTCATTTGAGTCCAAGATCAAGTTGATCCGATGATTCGTTCAAAAGTTATGGCAGTCGGAGCGTTTGACCTTTGACCTCCTACCCCCCTCCCCCTGGGGGGCTAGACGAGAAATGACACCGGATTTAGACCTCTCCGATGATGCGTTATGATTCCTGCAAGTATGGATGGAAAAGCTCTTGCGGCCATTTCCTATGGAAAATGGGACAACCTCTTTAAGTATAAAATAAATAAGAGTAGGTAGTAGAAGTTTAAGCAGTTTAATAAGAACATTAATCTACAAGATTTAAGATAACTTCAGTTAAGTTGAAGTGTAAGACTGTAGTAGATTTGATGCTGGTCTCAGCTGGATTACTTTTTGATTTTTGAATGAATGAATTTATTTCGTTTTAGTGTACAATAGGTAACAACAGACAAATGGGTAATAAACAAAAAAAAACAAAAAACGAAATGAACACCCACTAATGGCACTTGGCCATTGTGTCGGGTGGAGCCTCTTTGTTTGATTTTATTTTGTATCATTACTCCCTCTGTTTTGTCCCTTTTCCCCCTTCTTTTTATTATTTTTTTTACCCACTTCCCCCTCGCTTATCACTCATGGAAAAGATGAAATTGCTGATTTAACAATTTTGTGGTCAAAATAAAACAAATGTAACTTGCAAATGCAAAGGACTGCAAAGACAAGGACAAATTGACAAGACAACTTGCTTGGACTGCTTGTGCAAGGACTTTTTAACAAATAATAAACTCTTGATTCTTACCTAGTAACATAAAGACAAAACTTCTGAATTTAAAGAATAACTAAAAAATTGAATAAATTGACCTAGTTCTCCGCCTGATATATCTTGATTCGATAAAGGAACAAGAATCGTTAAAACAATTAGAAAATTGACTGTGTTCAACTGCATATTTACTTAGCTTGCTTCACACATTAAATTTGCGAAACGAATTTTTAGTAATGGTCCTAATTTCAAACTGATCACCACTTCTTTTTTGCTCTCTATGAAAGTAATTTTCATCAGGCTAAGCTGCTCTTCTCGGAAAATGCATACAGTAACATTTTAATGCTTTCATTAACTACAAAACGTTCAGTCTATTTTTAAATTTTAATTCTGGTGGGTATACGTTTGTTTTTTTACTCATCAACTAAGCTCATCAAACACCAAGAAATTTTATCATCAAATCTTAGAGTCCTTTTTAACATGACTTGGGAGCTACTTGTGTCAACAATTTTACCCACTAGAAGGAGTGAAATTAGTGGTTAATACGCAAAATATAACCATTTGATAAGAGAAATGATAAAGAAAGGTTTCAAATTCTTACCTGTAGGTTGACTTCAACAGTTTCCATTTCAACTCCCATGAATTTACCTTTGACTTTAAACATGCCATTGGTTTCAGCTGGAGATATTTCAAACTGGACATTTTTGAACTGAGAGGTTGGCAAACCCTCAATTTCGAGCAGGACACCAGTTTCTTTCAGCTTCTTTGCAGAGAAACGGTGGCAAAGTTTCTTCTTGGACTTGGACTTGCTACTGTCAGACAACGTGTGTGGGTTCCTAAAAATTTGAATTCATAAAACATTAAATCCAGCATGTGGAGCTTTGTAGAACCTTCCTTTTAAAGATCATATTAGAATCAAGGTGAAAGAATTAAATAAAAAGTATAAAAAAAATGCATGGGTTGATAGGCAAAAGATCGAAATTGTCAAAAAGAAACAAAATTTTACTGTATAATCAAATATTAAAACCTATATGGCAGTATGCTTCACAACTATGGGGTTGTGCAAGCAAATCTGATATAAATAAGGTAGAAAGATTCCAGTCGAAGGTTCTACAAGAAATTATTGGAGTACCATGGTTCGTAAGGAACGAAGACAAAAGGAGAAAATTGGAGGTACCCACGGTTAGACGAGTAATGGGCCTGTTGCAAACTTTTGCTAGAGCAAAAATAAGAGTTGTTTCTTATAGATAATGCCTCAAAAATCACGATGAGCGCATCGGCAAAGTCTGAAATGCACTCATAACTTCACAGTCTGCGTAAGAAATTTGCGGTTTTTTGAGCTTCCCGCTTCAAAAGCGATACTACGGCACAGGTGAACATTTTGTAAGAGGAGTCGTTCCATCGTCGGCAATACTCATCATGGCCGACGCCAATCCGCCAAAACACGTGTGATGGGACGAGATAATACCTGAACTGGGTTGGACCAGATAACAATCGGCGTGTTTTAACGTTCATGTTTTCCACGCCCGAATTGATTGACCTTGAACTCTCCTCGAATTACGCGCGGAACTGCGCGCAAGTGTCGGCCATGATGAATATCGCCGACGATGGAGCGACTCCTCTAACAAAATGTTCACCTGTGCCGTAGTATCGTTTTTGAAGCGGGAAGCGTAAAAAAACGCAAATTTCTTACGCAGATTGTGAAGTTATGAGTGCATTTCAGACTTTGCCGATGCGCTCATCGTGATTTTTGAGGCATTATCTATAAGAAACAACTCTTATTTTTGCTCTAGCAAAAGTTTGCAACAGGCCCATTGCTGAGACAACGAAGAGATATGAATGTCGTCTTGAAAAACCTGTCAATGAAGAGGATGTAAACCTCTTAGATAGAACAATATTAGTGAAAAGATAAAAAAGGTGGGAGACCTTTGAACTCCCATCAAGATTTACATTGTAACTAGTCTGCAAGGTATGAATGAGAGTGTGAATGGAGTGTGAAAGGAAGAATGTGAAACAATTAAACTAAAGACCTTTATGTTTTAATATTTCTAAAAAAGAAGGCAGAGAATTTTACAATTCCTGTTTATTTAGATCATCATCGTATTATCTAACAATACCTTGTAAAATTAATGCACTTCTTCTAGTTTTAGTTTTAAACCATGTGGATGGATACAAGAAAATACTTGTAGTAGTTACGTTATATTTAAATAAAATTCTCCCCCCCCCCAAAAAAAAAAAAACCTCAGTACTTAGTTATTTGAAAATAATTATAAAATGTAAGCCTACAGCCATATGAAAGATAATGAATTGTCGTAATTACACAATGAAAAGAAAAATAATAATTTTAGGTTCAATCAACTGACAGTGAGCGAACAAAGGGTGGAAAATCAAGACAAAAGAAAATTTTGGGCTTCTTTGGGCTGAGAACAAGAAAAACCTTTTCAGTGTTTGATATTGTGATTAAAAAATTTAATGACAAAAGAGGTAATTTTATGAACAGCCTCATCAACTGAATGGTAATAGAGTTCTACATTTAAATAAAGGACCCCGCACACCTCTTATGGGAAGCTGCACCACGACCGATTGCCTTCTGACTTATGTTTTTCGATTCTCAACAAGATGCTGATCAAAAGTTATAATTGCGCCAACTTTCTACGATGCACCGTTTTCGCAAAAAACCTAAGAGAAGATTCAATTATTCGGTGACTCTGAATAAAAAAGAACAAAGCATTTGAGGACAGGCCCGATGTAAATAAGGAAAAAACGTAGCGCATGTCCGTCTTCTTAACTGTACCTGCCGACTCAGAGGCTATCTCTCTCCCGCACTCGCCCGGTAGACGTTCAGACTTTCCTGTTCTTATGCTCCTCAAGAATCTGATTTGGATGGTCGAGCAAAACGGCGAGCGGAATCCGAGATAAGACTGCCGCTCAGTGCGGGAGTTCCCCTGATTTGTTCAGTCGAGTACTGAAATGAGGAATCTTTCTGGCTTTTTATCGCCGAATAATTGAATCTTCTCTTAGGTTTTTTGCGAAAACGGTGCATCGTAGAAAGTTGGCGCAATTATAACTTTGGATCAGCATCTTGAGGAGAATCGAAAAACATAAGTCAGAAGGCAATCAGTCGTGGTGCAGCTTCCCATAAGAGGTGTGCGGGGTCCTTTGACCACTGATTATGTGTTGCAATATTCCTGACACCAATCTTTCAAATCAGATTATTTTTTAATTTTTTTCGGAATGCAAATTAAGCTTGAAAATTGACATAAATTATGAAGTCAATTTCATTAATAGTTAATTTTTTCACTGAGGGCCATTTATGAAGAGATAAAACTTCAAATTATCACTATGTTCATGTTTATCGTGAAATTTCATTGAGGTTCTCAGTTTCCTCATTGGAAAGATCGAAAATAAATATTGACTTTTTCACTTGAACGAACTACCCAGCGACTTACTTCTTTAATTTTTGATTCTCGAGACAGTTTTGCACATACTCATTGTAGTATTTGACTTTGTCTTTGTAAAAGCAGATTTTGTCTTCCAAATTCTTCCTCGTTTCTCTCACAGTTTGTAACTCCTATAATACATAGGAAAAAAAAATATTTGAAAATGATCAATGGATTGATATTAAAAACAGGAAATTCAAACAATTAAAAACTTTGTATTGTCTATGTGTTCAGTCAGGCTACACGTACCACAGAGGCAGCGTGCTGTTTTATTAGTACAGCATTTAAATATATTCTTCTATATCTCTACCTTGCTAACATATACTTTCTTTTTTATATTTATTAATTTAAATATATTTAAGTTCTGTTTTATTGGTACAGCACTTAAATATGGCATTGTTCAAAATTAATGTTTTTGTTTCTACTTCGATACACTCAATGCATTTCATAACTATGATATGCTATAATCAATAGTGTATCTTCAATCACATTTTAAAAATATTTTCATGGATTTGAAAAGCTAATTTGAGAATGAAAACATTTCTGAGCACATTATTGAGCGGTTAACTTGTTTCTTACAAGCATTTTTAGAAGCACAATACAACAGCAGAAATCATACCTGAGATTGGATTTTCCTATACTTCCTTTTGTTACAAATATCTTGAGCCAGAGCAGAAATGATACTTTGGTAACCATCGTTGCGAGACACAAAACCTTTTTCTTCAAGTTGGTTCAGATAGTTTCGCAATTTTGTTTTACAATTCCTCAGCGATCCACTGAAAATTCAATCGGGAGAATCATGATAAAATCAGAAAACTGACTCATTAAATATTTATAAAATGCATGGTAAAGTAGGGGTCTGTTTCAAAAAATTTTGGATTAAAATGATCGTGAGCCTTTAGATTGGCAGGAATGGAATCTTGAGGATCAAACTTGTTGCAATTAAACAATAATGGTCAATGTTGTTGCATTTTTTGAGAGGTTAAAATTTACAGAGAGATTCATTAACCAGTTTTAGGTTTTAAAATGTGAGAGCTGATTGAAGCTATTTGTCTATTATTGGAAAGACGTTATTTTCCCAGAGAATTTGAGGCTGTGCTTTAACTTAGAATGACCTGAAAAATATAATTTAGACATATATTCCAAAAAACTTCAGCCAATTTCATGTAATTTTTGATGAAAGTTCTTTTTAGTTTCTTAAAATCATGTTGAAACCAATTAAAATCGAAGAGACGAAATGATAAACCAGTGTGACTTCCATTATACACTGCAAATCCATGATGGTTGGAGAATGTGATTTAGTTGAAATACTTCGAAGCTCAGAATGTGCAGTGGTGGTTTGTCTTCAAAATACTAAGGGTTCAATCTTAATTCAAAACTATTTGTGGGGAGGATACTAAAAAGGAATAACTGAAATTGAGTGCAGGGCTTAGCAGTGATTCCAGAGGGACTAACATTCAGAACATGGGATGAGATAAGTGACATAGTGAAATTAACTTACATGTAACAATCAGGGTTTGATTCACAGTTGTTACTAGCATGTCTGGCTAGAATTTCCTCCGTCCTCTTTTCAAATTCTCTTTCTTGCTCAGGAGAAGGTTCTATCCTCAAGGAACCAGGCAAATTGTGACCGTTTAAAAAAGGCATCACTCGGACTAGAAGCTCTTTGGTGCTAAATTTTCAAAAGAGAAGGATATTAATGGCTTTTGGAATGTAAATATTCAACGAAAAACAGGCTATTAAAGAGAATCAGGCGCAGTGTTCAAAACTCACAGGCGCCGACGCGCCAAATGCGCCTAAGAAATTGGTCATGGCGCCTAAAAAATGAAGGCTCTTCGCCAGCATGGCCCCTAAAAATTGCCCCTCCCCCCCCAAAAAAAAATCCTACTTTTTCTTTTTGGTGAATTTTCAAAATTTCCCCCCAAATTACAGTTACTAGTGTTGTGTGACTAAAACATCTTGCATCTAACTTTTCACTAAAGGCGCCATGATATATACCCAAAAAGTCAATCTGTCCCCTAAAAATCAAGCAAGCACATGGCTCCTAAAACTCAAACGTGAGTTTCGAACACTGATCAGGCATACTTTCATTGCGTCATTAAACTTCAAAAAGACTACATGCCAGTATACCAAGGGTCTAATCATAAAGAATGTTTGATACAGGCAGCCAGGAGGAGAAAATAGCCTCACAAAAATCTCCAGGAGTTCGAGTTTACAATTGTCTTTAAATATAAAGAAATCGGGCCAAGTTTGACCTCTCTAGATTTCAGTTTTGGAAAGCTGTACTATGGGCAGGTGTCCTGATAGCTGCGATTTTTGCTTCACTAAGTTGGTAAGAATGTACGTGCCAGTACCAGTGAGAAGAGACTGCTTTGCAATACTGTGGTAATTTTTCTCCCATTCAAACTGCAGTTGTCTCGTTTTACAATTATTTGACATTTTTTCTTAGCCTGCAGGAAACACATATGCAGAAGAATTGGGAAGGGAACATGTTAATTTGCAAGTTACAAGACCTTGGTTTCGTCGAAACTATGATGAAAGCATTCAGCTTCTGTTACATGTTTGCTACTTGCGGTTAATTTATGTTCACCGGTTTGTTTTAATACTCTCTCAGTCTCTGAGGTTTTCAGTTTTACTTAAGAACTCATTTTGTAAGTATTTGATAAAATAAAGTAGGTGTTAGAGACACATCATTTCATATAATGATTTGTAAATTACAAGGATTTTAGATTTTTCTTGAATTTCTACATCAAAGAAAGTTGCGACATTTTTTTTTCCTGAACTTTTTCTGTGATTCTGTGAATTTTCAGGACAATTCTGGTTCGATATAATTAATTTTTAATTACGCTTGACTTACGCTATGAATAATTTGGTATCTTCTGTGACAGCTTCTTTGTTTTCCTCCACCTCAAATTTATTCACTAAGGTAAGATATAGGTCTGTCTTTCCCAGATGTCGGTTGAAAATTTCTTCTGCAGGGTTAAGACCCATCAGCTGACCAACTGACGGAGGCTCACAGCCTAGATCGTCTAGAAGTTCATGCAAGGGGTCCTCTGCATCCGGCGCTATCTGATATTCATATTCATGCAACAAATTATGTGTATTACACAGTTCCTGTAAAAGAAAAGGAGAAAATCCCAGTAATAACAAGTGAAAACATAGTCTAGGACAGTAATGGACGAGATAAAAAAGGACTGCGTTATACGGAGGTCTTTGGTTTGTGGCATAATTTTACGCAAACATCCACATCTTAATCATGCATTGATGTACGGAACTAATTTCAGCACACTCGTTGGACATACCAGTCAACAGGATGAATGTAAATGAACTATTGGCCTAGAGGTGACCAAAGATAGATAATCTATCCTTTAAAAATCATTATAAAATGTTATCTTACTCTCTAGTATAGCAACGGGAAAAAACAAGGTGGAAAAACAGGAAACGAGGCTAAAAATACACAATTAATAAAACCCGAAACGTTTCAACTCAAAACTGAGTCATTTTCAGTCGGAAACAATAAAAATTGTAAAAAAACGATGAAAAACCTGAGCCCTACATGGTGGTGGCCGGGATCTGTATAGCGCAATCTGAAATTAATGACCAACGTGCTACTCCCAAAGATCCTTGGCTTTTCCAAGTAAATTCCCTGACTTAGCACCTAGACCTCTAGTCCGCCAGAAAACCCTGCTTAATTTAACAGGAATTTTTGTTGAATTTTTGGCTGAAAATTGTTATATCAAGTTTTTACTGTCGCTGAAAATAGGTATATGGATATATTTACCTCTAGAGTAATGTATATTGATGGCTGATGAATCAAGATAGCCTCTGAAAATTCAGTGACACTATAATAGGTTTCAAGCTCCTCTACATCGCAGCAATCCCTGAAGAACTTTTTGAACGCCTCATGGCACTCGATAATGAATGGATTCAAACATATCAAGTGTTTGGACTCTTCACCAAACTAGAGACAATTATAAAAAAGAAAGAATAAATATACGAAAAAAATAAAATCGATTGCCATAGCACAATGAAGAAAAGCAGTGAGGAGTAATTTAGTACCTGCGAGGCATTTCCAAAATTTAGGAAATTAATCAATTAGCTGAGAGCTTGAGGGTTATTATCACATTTTTTTTTTTCCATTTTGAGATATCACAAAAAACCTTTCTTCTCACATACTCAGCTCTTTTTTAAATTTTGCAATCCCCATCTGGGTCTGAATAAGATCAATGGGCCTGTTGCAAGGTGCAGGGATTTGCAAATTGATGCCTGATTCTTATGGCAAATTTCACAAAAAGAACGATGGCACTACTAAAAAACCTTGAAATGACCTCTCAAACTCAAAAAAAGCTGTTTTTGGAACCGACCCATTCAAAACGGTCGTTTTCGCGCGGTAACGGGTCCGCCATACTTGTGACGTGAAATGGTTCGACAGACCTGGTTTCTTCATCACTTTCAATGTATTTTCCCGTAAGGAAATGACAGCCGCTCTTCAAATGAAAATATTGAGTCAATCGATAATTTTTTGATCAAAATGGAAATCAGAAATGGATTCCTCGTACGTTTAAATGCTTAAAACCTTCATTAGGTAAATGAGAACCGACAGGATAAACCCTATTTTCAAGGAAGACTGTAGTCAATGGGCGATTGTTAACATCTGCTTAGTGATAACAGACATGGAGATTAGCTCAATATTTAGCCATTTTCATGAGTTTTTACTTTTTTGTCACTATTTGAAGGTAAGTTTGTTTTGTAAATCAATTGTTTAGTGCCTTAGGATCATGTTAAAAGCTGTAAAGGTATACTTTGTTACTTATTTATTCAGAACACACTCCGGCAGTCCAACGCTCAAACCTGGATGTAGCGAGTCAGTTGTTATTTCTTAATATTTCTCCCTTGAATGCTTCACTGAAGACACCAAAATGATAGTATCAATCATTGATGATGAAAAAAACTTACCTTTGACGATACCGATGAGATGAGGAGACCGGTATGTTTTAGCTGGAGGCAAGGAAAGTAGATGTAGGATCCTTCTTGGGTTACCAGATTTTATCGATAAATTTTTCTGCATAGTGTTACATTTAAAACACATAGGATTTTAAAATAACATAAGTTTATAAAACGTGGGAACGTTCGGAATGATATTGAGATGTTTGTTGATGAGTTAAGAATGATTTGCATGCATTGAGAGAACATCCATGGTTTGAGCGTTGGACTGCCGGAGTGTGTTCTGAATTGATAAGTAACAATGTGCACCGTTACAGCTTTTAACATGATCCTAAGGCACTAGAAATTGATTTACAAAATAAACTTACCTTCAAATAGTGACAAAAAAGTAAAACCTCATGAAAATGGTAGGGCTGTGCGAATAGTGAATTTTCCAAACGAAGCGAATAGCGAATAATTTCGGCAACTCTTCGCGAATAGCGAAGCGAATAACGAATAATTTAAGTCAATTATTCACAGGTACGAATAGTAAAACGAATAATTGGAAATGACTTTTTTAAGTGTGAAAATTCGTGAATATTACAAGTCGACAAAAAAAATGTGACTAATTTTTAAGAATTTTCCATTTGTTCATACGCCTGCACAGAAAACAATGAAATGCTATGATAGTAGCCTAGGCTGTTAAGAATTTGTTCGAAGATCCCTGGATGCTGGCTTGACTGTCCCTACAGTTACGTATGCATTTCCAGGATTTGAAGGTAACTGCGCGGGCAGTCAAGCTAGTATCGAAGGATCACTAGACACATTTTAGTATTTTATTTTTTTCGCTGTAAATAAAAATGTGTTAATGAACTTTTTTTTTCAATTTCAGAAATTTCTGTGTCTTTCAATCCTTAATTTGGGCTCTTTGCCTATTCCCCCAATCGCAATCGCGCTCGCTGTTCGTAAACTCGGCAAAGTCGGTAAAGACCAAAGGAGATCCGCCGTTCGCGATGTCTCGGGTGGAAGCGGAGGCCTTGCGCAGGTCCTCGCAACGTTTCACGATTGTCACTCGGAAATTCGTTATTTTTGATGGCGCGAATATTTGAAAATTCATTCCTCGTGACGGCGCGAATATTTGAAAATGTCAGTTCAAAAATTCACTATTCGCGACAGCGCGATTATTCGCAATTTCCGAATAGTGCGCGAGGCAGACGAAGCGAATATTCGCGGCGCGAATAGTCGGAATTGCGAATATTCGCACAGCCCTAGAAAATGGCTAAATATTGAGCTAATCTCCATGTCTGTTATCACTAAGCAGATGTAAACAATCGCCCATTGACTACAGTCTTCCTTAAAAATACGGTTTATCCTGTCGGTTCTTATTTATCTAGTGAAGGTTTTAACCATTTAAATGTAGGAGGAATCCATTTCTGATTTCCATTTTGATCAAAAAATTATCGATTGAATCAATATTTTCATTTGAAGAGCAGCCGTCATTTCCTTACGGGAAAATACTGTCGAACCATTTCACGTCACAAGTACGGCGGACCCGAAATGACCGTTTTGAAAGTCCAAATTCTGAGGCGTTTTTAAGTTGATTTTTTGAAGGTTTCCGGTGATCAAAAAACTCCAGGAAAATTCCTGTGACATCAGGAGCCTTAGTTCTTTCGATTAAAGCAATAAAAAAATCGGTGCAATAGGCCCATATCACCCATGCCAACATGACAGGTCATGCTACCCTGAACAGAGCAGTAATGCCGTGGGAACGAAAACACACTAACTTTCAGAGTGTTTTCATTCTCACCTTCCTTTTTCTATCGCTGTTTTGAGCACTTCTGATAACAATTTTGGAATATCCTTTTGTGAGTGGATGCGTCTATCTATAATACTAAGCTGTAAAAAAGTGGAAAAAAACTTAGATTGGTGTGCTTATATTCTCTCTTATTCAGTAAGTATTCCACTGAACAGACCTGCTATGTATTTTTGTTCATAGCAATTCATCCAATGGACCACTAGACAAGGTACAAATTCAAGCAATCTGATACATGTTTCTTAACCAGAATTTCACGTAGAACACGATTCGCGCAACGAAAATTACTGAAACCAGCTCCTGATTAACCTTTTTATTTCACATTGGTTACGCGGATTTTGAACTGCCCGCTCACAAGAAACTCAAAGCTCTACGTGAGTCAAATCGCGCACCACAACAGTTTCAGCTAGCCTCTCAATTGATCACTGTTCATAACCCACCATGTGTTGTTTAAATTATAAGCAATTTGCTATAGCTGAGCCCGCAAGCGTCAAAATTGAGGTTGCCAGATTTTTATATCAAAAGACTGTCAAGCAAAGACTGTCAGCAAAGACTGTCATGATAATGTTCAGCGCGCGATGTGAATCACGTAGAGCATTGAGTTTTAATGAGCGGGTGGTTTGAATTCACGCATCAGGAATCATTTAATATCATTGTAAGGAGTTAATTTCGGTAATTTTTGCTGTGCGTATCGTGTTTAACGTGAAATTTTGGTTAAAAAATATGTATCAGAATGCTTAAATTCGTACCTTGTCTAGTGGTCCATTGTTCAAAATAGTGAGTAAATAGGCAACCTGATATTGAACCTCTTACCCCTTTTTTAGAAGCAGCAAATTGTAGCAGTTTAGCGATGCTGGCTAAATTGTTCCTGTGATTGTTTGACAGCATTTTGTTTGCCTCTAGAGGAATGATATCGAAGGCATCCGGGGCAACTATGGCAGAGTTGAAAAACTGATAGTAGATTAAATGTCCAATGACCTGGTGGAAAAAAATTCATGTAATGGTTAAAAGAGTTTGAAATAAAATAATACTTTACATAGATCTCGTACACTTTAAAACGATTTGGTGGGTTGATAATTAATTTAAATGATAGAGAATCTTTTAGAAAAGTAATTAATGGTGGTATTGAGGATTTCCCTGTACATAAAGAAAATCAATTCACTATTGCTAAAGATGCAGTTTTCAGGGCAGAGCTTAAAAATGTTGACTTACTCAAACAATAAATTTTAAAAAGGAGAATTTTAATTTTTAAATATACAGTCTGCCCTCTCTGTAGCGGATTTCAAGGGACCAGAACATTTCGCCGCTATTGAGAGGTCGACAAAAAATTACATGCGATTAATATAGGAACATCAAGGGACCAGTAGATCTTGCCGCTATACTAAGTTATCTGCTATAAAGAGTGCTGTTTTGAAGAGGGTCGTCTGTATCAAGGAGGGAATGACAAAAAAGAAGTGTCTTGTGAGGCTTAAAATACCATAAAGTCGATTTAAGTTGTTGTTCTTGTTGCATGTGCTAAAAAACCAATTTGAGAGACCCAATAAGTTCATTTCTTTGACTATTTGCTTCTTGACTTATATGAGCTCTTTAGGGGTAGATGAATGTACTCTGAAAAATTTTGTGTGAGAAATCTGCAAAATCTACAGTAGAAGAGATTTAAAGTAATACTTGAATACCTTTAATACATCTTTCTCACTCAGTGTTGGGAACTTCTTCTGTAAGGCACTGCGCAAGATTTTAGCCATATACAACAGTCCATAGGGAATGACAGTTTTGCTTTGAGTGATTCGATTCAAAAACATGGTTGTCAAGGATTTCAAGGATTCAATGGCCGTTTGCAGGCGGTCCCTCACTTCTTCATACTGCAGCGCTGTCTCTTGATCTACATTTAGGGGCAAGTCAGACTGTTTACCCGTGCTCATTTCTTGCTGACTTCGCCAATTTCTGAAGATGGTAATTGGATTAGTATCAATGATCATGTCCCGAGCGCCCAAGACTTTCTTGATCAAAGGTCCTAGAATAACACGCAGCGACTGTTGCCCAAATTTATGCCGAGCGTAATTCACTGCAACTTTTAAAACTAGTGGATTGCCGGTAATGACATCATGGACACTATCAAATTTATTCTGAATTTCCTCTTCGAGTGAAGTCCTCAGAAGTTTGAGGAGCAAATACTCATCTCGATGGCTACTGCCAAAATTAAACAAAGTAAAAATGAGTTGTTGGAGGAGTTTTTGAGTGCGACTGTACGGTACTAAAAATATCAACTTAGATAAATATACAGGATTTGTTTGAAGTAAATAGAACAGATGCTGATATCCGTTTAGCAAATCTCTACTTTCTTTCTGCAAAGACTTCAATCCACCTCGACTGACAGTTGAGGTGCTGTTTGTCCTCTTATTTACAACATCATTTAAAGCCTTTCTGTGTGTCACAACCTCTTCAAGAGATATTCGGTTTTGAACAAGTAGGCCAATTTTGATATCCATTTCATCTATTTGTTTTGCTAGCTCTTGACTGTGCCGAATGTACTGAACTACTTGCTTCCTCAGCGACTGGAGTTCAATTTCTTTTCGATAATCTTCGATGTTAAAATCAAGTAGTGGGACAAATTTCCGTACGATTTTGAAGGATGGATTTGTTTGCATGGATATAGTAGTGAGAGCTTGGCGTACCATTCTGCCACGCCATAAGGCTTGAATTTTTATAATTTTATCGACATTATTCTGATAATAGTTAAGCCTTTCAATAAAAGTGGTGTGATTATTTTTCAACCGGTTAATTTCCTTGACTTTTTTCAACAGTAATGTATTGCGCCACCACCTTTGAATAATTCTCACATAGTGCTCGTTAGCTTCAAAGAAAGACAAACGATGTGCTAACTTCTCTCGAAAGAGATAACCTCGACAACATGCTTGGAAATTGATTATACATTTTTCCATCTCCTGAGCCTCTTTCTTCTTGGCGCTTCTTGATACAATATATTCGATTTCCTGTTTGCCGAGATACTCAGGCTCACTTTTTTTTGAATCTACTGGCTGCGTACATTCGTAATTTCCGTTTCTCATATCAATAAACACTTTGTGTTTTTTTTTCGTAATATAAGAGATCCATGGTGAGTCCCCAGTTTTTTTGCGGTGGAGATGTTTCAAAGACTTGTATATATCTGATGAATTACTTATTTGGCGGTTGCCGAGAATTTGATTTTCATGCAGGGCAAACAAGCATCCATTCTCATCATTGTTAGCAAGGGCTGCATTCACTTCCACCAAGAAACGCCAAGCAGTGCGAATCTCTTCAACTTCTTGCTTGGCATCGATGATTATCTTCTCAATATCCTCTAGCCAAAGTTCAGAATCATTCTTCTGCTTTTCCAGTTGCTCTAAAAGCATAGTGTAGATCATTTCATCTTCTTGATCTGATATGTTCTCACTTACATTTAGAATTGGATTCTTCAAAATTTTCAGTGCCTTGTTTTTATTGTTCTGAAGTAAGGCAGCATTCAAGTCGTGTAAACTCTCGATAATTGCATCATTTACTTTACTTTGTTCGTTTACAATGTCAATGCACTCTTGGATATTTTGATACGTCAAAAGTGGGCAATTGCAGGCCTGCGATACTTTATAATAACGGTTAGCACACAGGGCTCGATAATATGGAAGTTTACAAGCTTTGTCTAGGTTACTAAGGTGAGCGTTCAAATTGTTCAAGGAGTCCCATACGAGCTCTGGATTTTGTGTATCGACTGCTCTTGACACAGATGATATTAAAAATAATACATCAACACTACCGACAATATCATCATGGGTTAAATCACAGTTTAAATCAGTTTTGTCCACCTTCATTTCTTCAAAATAAAGAGGAGCAGAGAAGTCATCGATTTTCGACTGATTTAGTCCTAAAGCTGGGCTCTTCAGGGCCTTCATGAGATCGAAAACAGTTCCTCTATCTAACGCTTCATTAACCTGAGAGACAGCAGTAGTTAAATTGCTTGATTTTTTTATGTTATCATTAGTCTCATTAACCATTGTTTGCAGAAACCACTTTATGTCTGTGATATCATCTAAATTTACTGAGGAAAAGTTTGAACGTAAGGCGCTCTCTGCATAGGACACGGCATTGTTACCATTGACATTTTTCAAGTCTAGTGAGGTAAATAGTGATAGGAAATCTTCGGCGATACGAGATATGTTATTTTCCTTCAGATGTTGTTTCGCAGAGTTAAGTATGTTATTGAGTGAGCATTTAATGTTTACTGCCGAAATGTATCCCTGAATCTCGTCTAATAAGAGGAGGCCATCAAAATCATCTGGTTCGTGACTTGCATTCATAGACTGAAAAACAGAACATTTTGTTTGAAAATTTATAGGAGGAGAGGGGAAAAATTAGAAGGCTTAAAGACAGTTGTACAAAAAAATGGTGACAAAACGCTCCAGCCTCATGGGGTTAACTAGCGACAATCCTGAGATGGTCATGTCTTTAATAATTGCAGGTTCTACTTCAAAAAACGGCTTTCTTGGTTCATGGTATCTCTCCTATCACTATCGCTTTAACCCAACAATTTTCTTGGGTCTAAAGTACTTTGTGATGTTCATAAATATTTAAATTAAACCATAAGCCTTAACAAGATATTAAAACAATGATTTATTTTACAACTTGTTTTAGCATTTGCTATAATCTAGAAAGTTATGAGACTGCACAAAGGAGGAAAAAGCAAGTTTTTTCCTCGAAAAATTTTGTCTTTGCGAGATTTTCTCAACTTCACCTGGGTTTGCAGTCGAATGGCAACTTTGTTTCTGGAGTAGTAACCCTTGGTTTTACAATGCATTTAAAAGAGTGATTCTGACCAAGCCCAGATCCTACTTTCCCCTGCCCAGAGGCAACAAGAATTTTTCCGCCCTCATAGTGGTTCCAGGGGGGTAAATTACGTATTAAGGGGGCTCATGGGGGCCTCCTTTAAAAAATTGTGAAAATATCATGTTCCTTCGTTAGACCTATTTTTCGTCAAGTCTTTCCTGTATGACTGCTACTAAAACAAATGTTGAGTAATTTTTTTCGTCTATCCCCTCCTTTTCTCCAAAATTTACCACCCTTTAGCAACTTAAGTTGTTTGCACAGTAAATTTTCCCATGATTTTGACTCCTTTGTTGAAAAATGAAAGTAGCAAAATTTTGTACTCACAAGTTCACATTGTACCTGATAGATTTTTGTGATTTATCGTTCTACTTACTCTGTTTATGGAGCTTTCTTCTTTGGATTTTTTGGCTTCATGAAGCACAGCGATGTACTCTGAAATATTGTGGGCGTAAACATCTTTCACTTTTGCAGCAGGATTTTTTAACCTGACAAGGAGTGCTTGTGAATCCTGAAAGAAGAGGGATGAGTAAAAATCCGAAAGAGAGGAAATTTTGTTTGAATAAATATCGGCTATAATTGGTCGACCAAAAAATTCACTCAGAGTATAGTTTGGAATTTTTTATTAAAAATTTCAAGAAAAAAGATAAATTTTGCGTACTAGTAATAGAGATGATTTGATCCTCTTAAAGTTTACTTATGAAAAAAGATAGAAGAAGAAGATGAAAAATAAAAAAATTTAAGAAAATAGTAATGGCAGTTTCAAACACCTGTTTTTCTTTCAATTTTCTGCACATTAAAAATCATGGCAGTACTAGCATTTGATCTTTAATTAAAGAATTTACATATGTGACTGTCTACAAAAACCTTACCTTAGCTCATGAGGGTGAAATTTTCAGTGCAGTGATTTTTGTGGAGCTGGGTCTAAAAATTAGATTCTGAGATATTAAAGTAAAACTCTGCTCATTATCCTAAGGAATCTGTCATATCTGATATAGTTAATGTTAATACTAAAAAAGAGGACGGCGTAAGGTCACAATATAAACTGACAACTTCCTACCGAGAACATAGCAGGTTAGAATTTTAAGCAACTTTCCCTTGAATCTACGTTTTTTGAACTATAAACTGTGGACCACTATACGCCCAGTTTGGTTTTGACATATTTGTGTTTTTTTTTTCCCTCACTGTTTGGAGAACACTTCTCTATGACTCATTATGAAGAATTCAATTCTGAGTTTCTATGTACTATGATTCCACTTTCTGTGGACAGTCAAATATTTGAAATTATTAATTGTTCTAACTGTAAAGACTTCAAATGAAAAAAAAACAAAAAAACAACAACCTTGGATGAAATGGCATTGTTGATTTGCTGCACTATTGATTCATAGCTCACTTCCTGGCGGTTTCCTGACAACAGTTCACCAATCTTTTGGAAGGCAGGCATTTTGATTCCTCTTTCAGTGATCTCATCTTGAACGGCTAAAACTTCTTCATCTGTGGACAAACAGCAAAAAATATTGAGGGTAAAAACACACTTGGCCACTTTTTACTTTTTCTACAAAGAGCTCTTGTTGCTCTCGATGGTACACATCTTATTTAATTACCGGGATGATGAGAAGAGCCTGATTCTTGGAGGATGCATAAGCGTACTCAACAACCTCCTCATTAGCAGACGCTCAAAAATGTTCAGGCACAATATTCATGACTCCGGAACTCATAGATGGTAAACTGGAAACAAAACTTCGGCGGACCATGCTGTTGGTATGGAGCTTTCCTGGGATTGCCTAACTGAAACGTAGCAGGGACTCTTGATTTTCTAGGATTTATGGTCCCCAAAAAGTATTGTGAACAAAATAAAAGACTCCTCTTGTCCTCACTTTAATTTAAGCTATTGAGAGATTCTAAAGTCAGTTTAGAGAAAACAGCTAACGTGATAAGAAAAAAGGTGATAGCACTAACAGCTGAAATTCAGTGTCGGTTAAATTTCATTGCTTTTTCATAGTACTTATGGAACTTTGAAAAATTTACTTCAATTTGTGAAATTTCAAATAGATACCAGGTCTGCTCAATAAGAAACCGGATTTTGGTGATGGCTAGCCCATTGGGCGTCCAAATTCGGTTTCCTTGGACTTCCCTGATAGCTGATAACACATTGAAGAACGCTAGATTTACAGATTTTGTTTATTTTGATGAGTGTTGATTCTGAGTCACCTTGAATACGAGTAAGTCAGATAAGTTCTGAGATTTTCATCATGCAATCACTGATCGAGCAAAGATTTAACATTAAATGTTGTTTCAAACTCAGTATACCCTGTACCGAAACTTTTGGTATGCTCAGGAAAGTTTAGCAAGATCATTGTATGAGATGTCCTCACTGTTTTGAGTGGTATAAACGGTTCAAAACTGGTCAGGAGCCTGTCGAAGATGAGAAGCATGGGAATCGATCATCAACGGCAACTGACATTTGCCCTCGTGGAAGAAGTACGGGCAAAAGTGCTCGGAAATGGTTGCTTCGAGTTTGCTGAATAGTATGATATTTCTGAAGGCTCGGTACATACAGTTTGGATAGAATATTTAGACATGCATCGAGTTTTAGGTAAACATGTCTCGTGATTGTTGTCCGTTGAATAAAAATCCAACAGAGTGTCAATTTCCCTTGAGCTTCTTGAACGTTCTCACAATGATCCTACACTTTTGGATAGGATAATTTTCGGTGGCAAAACTTAGTTGTACAGTTAAGATGTGCAGACGAAACTCCACTCATCCTTGAGGGTTGTTGAAGGTAGTGCAAGACTGAAAAAAGAGACAATTTCGGTCAAACATGAAAATTGCAGAACACCCATGAGGTTGACTTACTTCAAGCCACATCACAACAATGCTAATTAAGATTTATAAAATTTGTGAATGTAGCGTTCTAAAATATATTTTTAGCTATCAGGAAAGTCCAAAAAAACCTAATTTGGATGCATTGTGGGCTAGTGATCACCTGAATCCGGTTTCTTCTTGGAAAAACCTTGTATTTAAATAACATTTTTCATTTTTGAATGAAAAAATGATGAATGACCATGGAGGAAGTACAGAAAATGGTGGTAAGTAGATTCACACGGACAATGGTGGTGGACATTTCTACGTCACAGCACGCGAACACAGGTCTATGGAAATTAAGCAAGATGAAGTTGGGTTATGTTGGCATGGGATACAAATTGTTGCAGCCTCATTCTCATTGGCTGGTACGCCGATGTATGTTTCTACGCCACGACTGAATTTGAAGGTGGCTACCTCGCCACCACCTCCTGTATTTTTTTCTGTGATAAATGCCACTCTTCAACAATTTCTTATTTATACTCTTATAAATTCAGGATGATCAGCAAAAATTTCAAGCTATGAGGTCGGCTCATTTCCTTTTTGTGCCAAAAAAAATAACAATTTGACAATAATGAAATTTTTGAGGAGTCTTCATTTGAAATAAGTATTTTTACATAGCAGTCATATATTTGACGAGAAAATTGTTTAGTATTTGATAATTTTGTTTTAAAAACAATTCCGAGAGAGTAAATGCAAATTTGCTTCATGAAAAAAGTGGATTTTCAGCCATACATGGTAAGCAACAAGAAAAAATGTGCAAAACATGTATAGCAGTGGCAAGGATAATTTGTACATACATACTGTTGAGTTTCAAGATGACTGTCTGAATTTTTACAACCCAAAAATTTCAAATGATGATCCAATATTGAAACTCTCCAACAATTTTGAGTGATGTTTGACATTTTATTGAAAAGGTTGAGGCTATCCAAATTTTTTCTACCTTTCCAAAGACGAATCAAAGTCACTCCGACATTTTTTGCATCCTGGATGCGATTCATTAAGTGAAAGCTCTTGCTTCAATGGTCACACTTTCATCATGCAGGAAGAAATTGGCTTTGTTATAAGCTTTCTAGAGACTCTAATGAGGAATTTTTTCTCACATACCTGAAAAGTCTATCTTTCCATAGAAGTCGTTCATCACGGGAGCATGACCATTTTTGAAAAGGTGTCTGCTCAGAGCATGCAGGCAATATATTACTCGGGGCATATTCTTCTTGTCGTAGACATCAGTTGTTTCAGGGTGAAAAGTCTGTGAAATAAAAATTGTTTTAGTGTTTCTTATTTGCACAAGAGAAAGAATATAATACTGTAAACTTGGCATGATTCAACTTTAAATTACCAGAACTTCGCATTCCTAACAAATAGTTTTAGGATTGAGGTAAATTAATTTTCTTCATTTTTCTGATTCTTTAGGTACTAACACAGCAAATTATTGTGTTGATAGTATCAAGCCACAAATAAAAAGAAAAAAATGACAAATTATTTGAGGGGCTTGGAGGACAAGGCGCATAGGTGCAGTTCTTAAAAAAATTGAGATAATCATGAACTCAACTAAAACTAGTTTGAAAGTATATTCTGTGAAAAATTGACAACTAAAATCCAACTTTAAAGTATCAAAAAGGGAATTTAAACTCACTCTCTACCATAAGGCTCCATGAAATTTTGAAACTTCGATCACATATTTCTTGAAATAGCAAAAAACTGCACTGAATACGCTTGCCCTCCAAGCCCCTGATTGCAAGTTTTGTAAACTTTAAGGTAGCTTAGCACCTAATGGCAAATTATTAAGATCCTTCTTCAGGATTCGTTTCTGATTTGAAGGCTTTAAGTAGTGTAGTTCTCTGTTAAAAAAATAAAACAAGAAAGAAGATTGGCTATCTTCCTTGGTACCAAAAAAATCCACTCACACAGGAGTGCTTCTTAGTTCGTAATGTTTTCCAGATTTTTATTTGGTTGCTAAGAGGACGGTTCTCTCTGCAACAGCCCTGTGACAAAGCTACCCTTCCCAGGCCGATCCTCTTGAGATTTTGGCGACCACCGTGATGAGGAATCATACATGACATGAGCCTTTAGAAGAAGTCTAGCATTAAATTTTTCGCGAAGGGGAAGGGAAGGGGAAGTGACAGATGAAGCTGCGTCAGCGTTGGTAAGTGTTTTATTTTGTTTTCTCTCTCCCTTTTCTCTTCCCTTCCCTGTGGATTAGGGCTCCTGGCGATACGACATTAAAAAAGACGCGCAGCTCTATCTCCGAGAGCAGCACCTTATCCTTTACCTGATTGGGCTCTCCTAAGGTGGTGTGGAAATGAGCTCGTCAGAAGAGTTTCCCCCTTTTTTTCCAACCAAATATCTTCTGGCGATACAACGGAAAAAGTAAATAAGTAAAATATAAACCTGAGAATGTTTTTATTGGACCGTGCAAAACTGAAATTTTCAGATGAAAGCTGCACTGAGCTGGAAGAAGTATTTTCTTTTTTAAATAAAAAGTAGAATTTCATAATCTGGTGAATGCACATCAGATGTATGTAATTTAAATTTTTGAAAAAAAAAAAAAAAAAAAAAATGTTGCTATGATTGGGCAACAGCTTCCATATGATCGAAATTTAGAGCAAATTTTCTCAAAAAATGTTGATGAAGGGGAGGCTTTTAAGCTCTTTTATGCTGATGAACAACATGCATAATTTTAACAATAATCTGATGACACTTAGCAGGTTTTGAATTTCCACTTTTTACGTACCAATGTGTAAATGCAAAAAAGACGTGTCTCAATTTTATCATTTAAAAAACTTCTGATTATTTTTTATTCTCTACTTTACTTGTGCTCCTGCACAAGAATTCTATGTAATGCTTCACAATACCTATTTGGAAATTGTTGGAAAATACTGACTTGAATGAAAACTAATTTAAAGAGTTACCTTGGGGAGCTGTGTGGCTTCCAGAGACTTTAACCAATAGTTGATATTATCTGTGTGCTTGAACTGCAAGCCGAAAGTCTCGTATCGCCGCTGGTGCAAATCGTATATTCGGTTGAGAGGGACTAATTCTGGATGAAGGAAATGACCTAACTTCGCCAGAACCACCCCATTCCTGAGGTTTTCCTCTAATTCTGTTGCCGGGGGTAATGGCTCTTTCAAGCATTGTTCAAGCCACCTGGAGGAAGAGTCAGATTTTTAAGATGAAAAATTGGGGGGAACCAAAGAGTTTTAAGAAGAAAAGAAGAAAGATATAGGGGCAGGAATCGTTTTTTTCAAACCAGTCTGACTTAGTTTATAGTCTTCAGTCTGGAAAGGATCAAGGTAAACAATGATATCAGCTAAACTTTCCTGGAAATGAAGGAGAAACGAATATTGGCACAGCACAATATTTAATTAAAGATAAGAGTATCTTTGTCTGGGCTTGAGCAAATATAATGCACCCGATGATTCTTTCATATGAGGCCGAGACCATTTGACATTAAAGCTATTGGCAAACTACGATAATGTAGTTAGCATGGTCCTTCCCCCTCGATTCTTGTGTGCAGGATGTCTGCCTGCCATCCATCTTGAAGTGACTTACCAATACAAATTCATCTTCACCTCAGTTTAAATTAAATGGGTACTCAGTCTCAGAAGGTTACCCATACCTCTTGCAGTCAGTGGCTTGAAATTTCAAGAGTCCGTTCGGCACATTGGCATGTACAAGCTAGGAACTTTCCTTGAAATTCCAAATAGCGGGGTGACAAATTGTTTAGGTTGTACCTCAAGAATTCAAACATGTCACAATACACAACATTTTGATTACTGATTGTTAAAGACTATTGACTGCAAAGTTTGAAAGTTTGAGCTGTGCTCACAATTTGAGAGGGGAGGGTTTTGTAGTAAAACTACTCACACTTTGGCTTCTTCCAAATGGCATAAGTACTCGTAGGCAACACTTTTTTTCCTGGCCTCATCCATAATTGTGTACCTATGATTTAGCAGTTGAATTGAAAAGCTTGAAGATCCGTCATAATGATAAAATTGGCCGAAACAATATCACACCATTAATCACTGGACAAAAAGTGAAGCAAGATAAAAGATAAAATTCATGACTGATTACGAGGAACGAGAACGACGAGCGACAGACAATGGCTAAGATTGTTTACAATTACCCGTGTTTCCCTCCAAAATTATCAAACGACTAATCCAAAGATTATCTTTCTTCCCAGCGAAACATTAGTAAATTTAAAAGTTTCTCATGCTCTAACATAATTTACTTTATAAGATAGTAAATTTTTAAAATTTTTCTTTAACTTTTGCTTATTTTCGATAGTTTTAGACAAAACTTTCGTTGATAACAACAATATGCTAATCATGCTATAGTCTTTGCTTGGCTGTAAACAGACTACATAACCTATGAATATGAAGAACTTGCGTTCGCTTTTTCGCTTTGGTGTCTGTGAAAGAAAGTGATATCGTGTAATCTTGTCATAACGAAGCGAGCCGGTATGCATTTATCTCTTGATTATTTTACCATGCATTAGAATTTTAAAATAGCGATAAAATTCCTATTAACTTGAAACCCTCTAGCTGTAAGTATGGATGTTCCACCTCATCTGTTAAGACTCTGCTCTGCCATGTGTATGAGAGTGACTCAAAAACTTGTGGAGCTAAAATATTGCTTTTAATCACTGAAGAACTCTCCGCATCTATAATTCAAGCAATGAAATAGATATGTAATGGAGGGTATTGCATTCTCTTCACCAGTCAGTAGACCACCATAATGATGAATTGAATTTTTTTATCAGCGCTAGAGTTCTTTATCAGATTTTGAGACGAACGTCAATCACATTTGAGAGATTTTCACATGTGCCAATTCCTGATTAGCCTTTTCTTCGACAAACCAATGCATGCATTTAAATGCCACCATCGGCGGACCATTACTCCTTGCAGACAGAGCAGGCAACATGACGTCTCTTCTTTTCGTTATCTTAATCATCAACTGGTTTTTTCCCTCACATGTCTTATTGGCAACCCTTAAGATTACATCAGCAACTTTTCCTTTATATTAGCAATTTTAAGTCTCATATTAGTGATGAGAGGTTACATCCTCACAATGAGTAGGTCAGTTACTGCTAATTGGTGTGTCTGGTAGTCTGGTGTGCTGCATCTGGTTCGTCATTTTTTGATTTGACGACCTCTCAAGAACAAGGATCTGTCTAAATCAAATTTTCTGTGTGATTATTTTACAAAAAATGGGGCTGAGAAAGAAATTCATCAGCCTTTTTACATGCACTAGTTGGTAGAAATGTTGCAACATCTGATCGATGGTCAAGAAGAACTTATGTGCTCTCGCTAGCAGGGAAGATGAGATAGATGACAAGTGAAAGAGTGTCGAATGATAACAGTGTGTGGGGCAGTATTTTCACACACATGAGGATAGACAAAAATTTCTTTAAGGGAGCGTTTGCAAGAATGCCAAAAAAAATCACTTCTCAGCCCTGTTTTTCTCAATATGAGCATTATCATTTAAATTTCCACGGCTCATTTCATTTACTTATTTCAATTCCATTTCAATGGCTCATCATTGTCAGGAGATTGCGTAAAACATCAAACAAAATAATAACCTAGTTCAGCTGGCACTGAATTTCTTGGTATTCTGTGCAGGGTCCTGTAAGAATCTTTTTGAAAATAACCATATGTTTACAGGTTTTACAATAAATTAAGTGGAGGCGTTCATTCTTTCAATCAATAAATTTTACTACCGAATGGGCACAGGTTTTTGAAGTAGGGTAATTCTACTCTCTCAGGTTGGTAGCCTCATGCCGCTCTCTGATTGGCCGGCTCCAACTTGCCTTCTTGTATCATCCTCTCTCTCGTTGTTCATATTCATGTAGCTCTTTTGATACAATACTATCTCCCATGTATTTCACGCTTGAAATAACTGTTATTTATTTCTTGCGCTTATCCACCCTCTATCATTCACTTCTAATTTGAGTCAAATCCTCTTTTTAGGCCCCGACCACAGAGCTGTAATTGTTCCGTGGCCAAAGTATCAAAGCGTGCAACTGCATTTGCAACGTTGCAGGCTTACTGCCATACTTTATGTTTTCTTTGAAAAACTAGTTAATGTAATTTATTGAAAAGTTCCTGGATTTTTCTTCTTTATCAGCAGAAAATTCTGTACAAACATCAAGCTTTGAAGTTGGTTTGTTTCTTTTTGTTAAAGAAATGTTGAAGCTCTGCAATGGAGATACTTTGTCTCCCTCTTTTGCCATTTATAGCAGAATCCATTGATCTCTGTGTTGAACACCAAAAAGAGCGTCATCCTCTGGTCTAAGAAGTTGGGAACTTCCTCTTCATAAATGTGTCTCTCGAAACTTCCAAATCAGTGACTCGTCATGCTTGGAAATAAATGTGATTATTACAATGGAGAAGTGAAATTTGTTGCATGAAAGTCATGATCAAATTTTTATTTTCTGATTCCAGGTTGATAACCTCTGGTGTGTAATATTTTCTGTTTTTTCACCTCATTGGAGTTTTATCAGAGCGGAGGAACGGCTATCTAAGCAGGTATTATTTTTGGACTTGTTTTTTCCTCTTTTACTTACTTGAGGAAAAATTTGTATGGTCTTCTCGTAAGTCCTATGGTAAGATGTATGTTTGAGTTTCTTGCCAAATTAAGTCCAACGTGCGTCAATTTGGCATTGTCTGTGTCTCAAAGAAATTTTCTAAATAGGCCACCAGACAAAGTTAGAATCAGAAGAAAACTTCGCATGCTTTCTCTTCATAATCTTAGGTAGAAAACAGTTCCCTAATTGGAAACTTTGAAATGCAACTCCTAAACAAGGTAAAAACAATTATTTTCAACACAGATCAAATAGAAGTTAGACTATACAAATGACGTCATTCGTATTTTTGCCATTTCACCAATGTTAATTGTAAACACCCATATTTTGTTTAGGAGTTGCTTTGCAGACTTCCAGTTGTGTGATTCGTTTTCCTCGTAAAATTTTGAAGAGAAAACATGATGCTTAGTGCTTTAATCCTACCCTGTTGAGAGGCTCATTTTCCAAAAAATGGCATTTTCAACTCTATTTAACAACTTTTCTTCTCAATTTCACTGAGAATATTCTCTGGGCTTACGAATAAACTGCTACACACGCTCAGTTCTGTCGCTTCCTGTTTAAGTTCAACCTCCCATTAAAGTTTGCCAGGTAGTAAATACCCTAAGGGTCATTCTATGCCAATCAACCGGACCAGTTTACCACCCGTCTTGGATTTGCGCGATTTTTTTTATTTGTTCTTTAAGTCAAAGGACAAGAAAGTCCAAATTTTTAGCCCAAAATACTCTGTAGGTCTTCAGAAAAAAATGATCAAAGTTTTGATGATTTCTTAAAAATGTCATTTCTTGAATCACGAAAACAGTGCCTGCCCTTTGAGAAATCTCTGTAAAAATTTGAGTTTTAAAGATATCTGGCTAAATCGGGCACCCATTTTTGGATTGTATGAGCGGCATTCCATGTGAAATCACCCAGCTTTCAGAAAATTTGTTACTTGGCTGACTCAGAAATTGATGAAGGTATGAATACATATTCATTTACATTCAAAAAGACCAAAAATATTTTATTTTAATTTTTCAATGAATTATAAGCACTGCAGCGTTGCCATATGACTTCGATATATGGAAAAAATGCTGTTAGCGGTAAATAAAATATCTTGCAAAGAAATTATGCTATTGGAGGAATCAAAAAAAGAAATTTTAGCTCTTTGTATGAACTTTTACCACAATGCAACCCAATTTCTTCACCCTCAAATTTTAATGGTTTAATGTAGGCCTTGAAATTGGGCCGAAATTTGCCAAATTGACCAATTTAAGGCTGATATTTGAAGAGGAAGGAATAAATGCTAAGGACTGGAAATTTTACTGCTAGTAGTTCTACACCAAGGCAACTAAATGATCAAATATCAGCGTACAGATATTTACCCTTTTTCTGTGAGAGTTGCTCCAAGATAGCTTACATTCAAATTTCACCCAAGTTCAGCCCGCTACAACTCAAAAGGGTCTTATAATTCCCAAAATTTCAGGTTACTTGGAACCCCTGGCGGTTTTGGTCCACGAAACATTTTTTCATATCATGCATACTCTCAGTGACCTGTGTACAAATTTTTAGCCAGATATCTTCAAAATTCAATTTTTAAGTACAGAGATTTTTCAAAGGGCAGGCACAGCCGTTTTAGTGATTCGAGAAATGCAATTTTTGAAAAATCATCAAAACTTTGATCATTTTTTTCTCAAGACCTACTGGGTATTTTGGACTAAAAATTTAGACTTTCTTGTATTTTGACTTTAAGAACAAATAATTAAAAAAAATCGTGCAAATCTGAGATGGGTGGTGAACTTTTTTCATTTTTTTGGTTGAGATGGCATGGAATGACCCCTAAGTTTTAGCTGCAGAATGAGATTTTTAGGTTTTAAATGTCCTAGTAGAGCTGAAAGTGTATTCTAACTAAGAAATCTAGTGTTTAAAAGTTCTCAAACTCCAAGAAACAGCAGTGGAAGTTTGTCTGGAGGCTGATTATTAAAATTGCTAGACAAATCTATTGACATAGAAGACAAAAGAGAAACTGAGGAATCCTATTGGTGGAAACAGTTGGTTGTGATAGACAAAGGGGGTAAATTATAGACTAACTATAGGGTCCTTCATGAGATGCTGTTATTTGGTCTATTGCTTACTCCTTTGTCCAGTGTGATTGCACGTTTCAACTATTAGGATCCTCCCTTATTTCCTGTCTTCTTCGTCTATAAAATTCAGTAATCAGTCCTTTGGGGTAGGAGGTTAAATTTGTCAAGAGCAGGTGGTAAAACCGAGCCTCTACACTCTACAGTTTTTATACAGATTATTTTAAGTTGCCTTAAAAATTAACAAAGTATCACGTTCAAGAGCTTCTTTTAACTCAGCTTTAACTGCTGAATTGCTTTAATTAAGGCTATGTCCACCGGGTTGTCAAAAAGTTCATCTTGCACTTTCCTGTGTTGACAAGCAAAATATCTGGTAGATAATCGCTATAAATATTCAAATGTACATGCTTGAAATATTTTTTTAGTCAGTCTGCATGAGAAAAGAAGGATTGCACATTACACAATGCTGCCAAAAATGTATCGCCATGATAAGTGTTTTCATCACAATGTGCAAAGAGTGAAAAATGTATTTTTCAGGCAGTTGTACTAAATTTTAGGAATTTTTTGTTGATTGAGGACCATATGCTCGTAATGCATCAGTCATCTCTCACCGCGAAGAAAGAGCTGCATCAATCACTTCTCGGATTACTCACTCAGGAAGTTTTTAGCATTTTCATCTTGGCTTTGTTGGAAGGTGGTCAATAGAACCCAAAAATTTAAAGGAAAGAAGAGTTGAGAGGCGGAAAGAGAGCTGACCTGAAGGAAGAAGAAGAAGATGTAACCAGATTAGAGGGGCACTGGAGGGAGGGCTCTGAGGAATGAGTATTAAATAATAGGCTTTGGAGTGAAGAAGGGATGGACAAATAAATAGGTTGCTCGTTTAAAGGGAATCTGTAGAAACTCTAGAGACTTGGGTACAGTTGGAGATGGTTATTGATGATTCTCGCAAAGTGGAAGGACTATATTTTGTCCTCGAGGATAATTGCTCTCTATAATTGTAAAACAATCGGTACATTTGGATGAAAGCAGGTAACTACCGCTGGTGGCTGGGAATTTTCTGTCAATTAGCATTGTAGACTTTATCTTTCAACATTTTGTGACTGTACTATGGCCACAGTGTGCTGTGTGAGTGGTTGTGTAATTTTCATAGATCCATCTACGTATGAGGACCTTCCCGACTAAACAGCTTACACCTATGTCAATGTCGCTATGATTGTGCAACTTTTCCTCTTTTTTTTAACAAGTATCCGAAATCACCTAAGTTATAAATGTCTCTGCTAAAGATTCAGAAAAATAGGAAGAAAATTTGAGGCAAATTTCAGAACAAACCAGTTCTCTACCAACTAAACAGTTTAATTCATGTATAATCTTAGCAATGTTGAAATGGGTATAAGCTGTTTGGTCGGAAAGGTCCTCATATGATGCTTACATATGGATAACTCTGAAGTTAGTCTGTACCAAAAAAGAAGTATGGGAAAGACTTGGATTCCCATCAAATTACTGCGGTATTTTGAAGCAGAGGTTTTAAAACTTTTTAATCCTATTATTAAAAAAAAGATTGAAAATGGAGGAGGAAACCAACTTTTTAAATTTTAATTTCAGGAAAGAATACTATAACATTCTAAAATATGTTTTAAATTCTAAAATAAAGTCTGATGCTTTTAAGATTTCCCTGCATTTGCAAGTGAGACCCGAGACTGCTCAATTTGGTCGGGGATGCAACTCTCTCAGTCATCCTAAATGACAGGCTCTGATTAGTTTTTCAGTATGATCATCCGTGTTGTAGTAAGAATCAGTCCGATCATTTCTTTTAAAACCAACTGTTAAGCTGTCTTTACATTGACATTGACTGTTCTCATAGTTTATGATCAGCAAAAAACTCAATGAATAAGAAAACCAACTAGGAAAGAAAAAATCGGAAACATCAGATTTTTCATTTATTTCAGTTAATAACATCATTAAAACAAAAGAAAAATATTGGAAGACAAATTTTTGATAAAATCGAGACTAAACTCTTAAACCTAACACTAGTAGAGTGATACTAGTAAAGATCTTGCAGGCGAAGCACAGAATTTAGAAGCACAGAATTTACTGAGCAGGATAGTTGTTCACATCTGGGCAAATCTGTGTTTCACCATTGCACAGAAAATACTTTCATTTTGTTGCATTAGAAACAACTCCACCCAGTGGCTGTTATTCCTAGCTGATATTTCAATGTTTTGTTTGAAGCGCACAATTGAATGGTTTTTTCAAGGAAAATCGTTTATGATAGCGCCAAAGTAGCAGTCGAAAGATTTACTATTCACCTGTTTTGATTCAGAATGAAAAAAGTGATGCATCTATGTGAAGACAGTTCCACACATGGCTAAGTGTAACAGTCCTGCATTAGATTCTTTGAAGAGCAGGCGGGTGGTATCATTTCCAATGCATTGGTCTGATCCAATACAAAAGTTTTATAAACAATGAAAATTAATCATATCCACTTTCAAAATAACTGTAATAATAAGCAAACACTATATTTTAGCAGCTCGCTCATCCTTCGGTAGCTTACCCTGGTAGTTTTTATCGTCTAAGGATATTTAACAGAGAGTTTAACGGAGAGAGGATTCGATATTCACAATTTGTTCTCTTTCAAAATGTATTGTCTCAAATGAATCAACAAGGTTACTAATAGGTAGCAAAATAACAAAGACTTTTTAGATATCTGATGCATTAATAAAAAAAAAAGTTCACATTGAGAATTACATATTTGCAGAATCTATTTTCACTAATATCTTACATGGGTATTTACATAATCTGAGTTTTATCTGCTGCTTAAAACTAACCATCTATTGAGCGTCAGTATTTATGTGTGAATCCAGTCCTTCCCCAGGCGATTCATTGAAATCTGAAACACAGCTTCTCTTTTTAATAATGCAATTATTACAATTTTTAAAGTTAGTAGCCTAGTAGCTGAGAAATCTTCGTCAGTTCTCAGTATATAAATTTCAACATGCAGAAATAATCACCGGTAGTTTCTCTGAACAATTGACGGAATGACTTTTGTTGATAATGTAAAAAGAGGGAATTAAAAGAATCTAACACCAAGTAACAGCAGGTGGTTGAATTTGGAACTTATTAAATTTGTTTGAGGGTATTGAGATGTTAATATCCCTTAGTGTGGGAATATTTTACCATCATTTTGATGCTGAGAACACCCAGAAATGTCAAGCTGAACAAGAGTTACAGTCGTCTTGATTACACGAAACATAGTTGTAATAAATTTCTTTCCAAAATTTTAATGTGCCGTGTTTCAGGTTTTGAAATGTTGGTCTTTATTGCAACCTCATGCTCTCTTCTTACACAGAAATGAAATAAACTGCTGGAATCTAAGAGAATGTTTTCAGTAAAAAGTCAGGAACCGATTATTTGATTAAATTTGACAAAAAATGCCCTCCTGAATAATTTCCTCTGTGGTACTTTTGAAAGTGGAGGACCACATTTGACCAGAAAGAGCATTATTCTTGCTTTGACATTGTGTAAGATCTCACAACAATGATTACATTACTGTAACAGAACGAGTTATACCAGTTTTTTTAAAAGTCTACATTAAAAGGAATACTTTTCAAATGGATTGAAATCTGCAAAACTTAATCCAAACTGGCTTAAAATTCCTGTACATCAAAACTTATAGAAGGAGTAGTTTACATGAAATTTTTTGTACACACTTTTCATGTCCTTCTCAAGTCTTTATGGTTCAGGACTAAGTTTTTTATGGTTCATTCAAATTCTGATATGATGAAAAGCTTGAGAAATTTCGTTTTTATATTTTCCATTCAGAAACAAACACTTAAAACAACCAAGAAGGTACAAATGTTCATCACTGGAAGACCAATTTCGTTGCTACGGTTGTTCTCATCGAAATTGGTTTTATGATGTGATGACTGATTTATCGACCATGTTATCGTGTCCACAAGTTTGACGTCTGTTTTGGATAATCCTGTCGTGACTTCCTGCTTCTCTTCCTCTGTTTTTTGTTGTTTCTTCTTTTTGTGGTAATGTTTATCTTTTCCATGATTGAACTCAGGCTCTTTTCTCTGCGGTTTCTCTATCTCCTTGAACCGATTTAGGAAGGAGCTTTGTGTTGTTGTTGGTTTATCTTGTCGTAATTCTGAAAAAAAAGGAACAGTTTTATCAATTGCAATGAAAAGATGATACTGTATTATTCTTTTTCAGCATGACAGAAAGTGGCTCACTATTGAAAATAACATTTTGTTGAGCATAAAAGATTGCTAACTTACCAAGGAATAAGTACTCTACTGAGCAAAATGCGGTACCTTTTAAAAACTTCAAGAGTTTCAACTCTTTTAGTTTTGCATTTCTTTCATACTATTTAAACAAACAGTTGATTCCAACAGTCAAGTCAAAACTAGTGCAGAAGTAAAACTTTGAGAATAATTTTTTAGGAAGGACTGTGTCTGAAACTTTTTGCCTCTACTATTGTGGCATTACTGTTGTGTCTTGATTTTGGGTTTTTTTTCTCATTTTTTTCTCTCTCCCTCTCTCCTCCTCTCTAAAAGATCATGCAAAGATTTTCGAGGAAGTATCTAGATGATTGGATAAAGTTTTACTTTCAAGTGAGAACACAAAGAAAAAAATATAGACAAAATTACAGGATGAACCAATGCCATAAACATTTAGAACGTTCCTAATCATTTAAGAACATTTAGCGAGAACATAGAAATTTTCCAGAAATAAGTAATGAGCGAAAAGAAAGGTCATAAATTGGCAATCTCCAAAGCAAAGCTTTTTAGTTCCTATTCCCCCTTTTTAACTTTACTTGTTACTGTCATGCTAAATTGAATCATAGAAACTTCGTGGGGGGAACTACAAATTTTACTGCAAGTGAGTAACAAAATTTTATAAAGAATTTTCTATTATTTTTTTGCTATTGAATCATATTTACCTTGAAGCCTGATGATGCCCTCAGCTTTTCCAAGTGCATTCACTGCAATGCACTGGTAGCTCCCAAAGTCTTTTCTCTCCATGTTTCGTATTGTGAGATTCATCACCAAAGAGTAATCGTTCAGCTGTGTCTCAAGAATGGTGTATTTAATGCTAGGCATAAGTTTTTCACCTGAGAAGAAACAATTTGCCTTTAGCAAGCAGGATCAACAAGTCTTTACAATACCTTCCACTAGAATATAATGGTTTAATATAGACAATTCGTGCTTTTAATGTAATTGGAGCTTGTGCTTTAAATTAAAGGTGGAATACTATGGAGTTGATAAGCTCAAAAATCGAGACTTCCTTATGAATTTGTGAAAGTGAATCCTGTTCCCTCCCTTTACTTATTTTTTTTTTTATTCTATTGGATACCTCAATAGATATAGTCTTGTTGTTATTTCAAATTTCGGTTCTCATGATGATGGCCCCTGACTCAAACTAAATTATTTACATGAAAAAATGGCTATTTAAAATGGCTGTGTGAGAAAAAAAGTAATGTTATCCATCTTATTCCGCCGTAGCATTACCTTTTTCTTCAAATCAAAAGATGCATTCATTTTCTTCAACGTCACTGCATGCCAAAGTGGCAATGTAAGTGAAATGAAACAGAACTTTGAGTAACCACAAAAGAACAGAGCTCTGTGCATTTTCATACTGAAAGTAGGGTAGAGAGAAAGTGGAAGTGGGGACCCAGGATTCATCCTTTTGTTTCGACAAATAGCATATTTTAAGAGAAGAACCAATCAGAATCCGAATTAGGCTGGCACCTCATCAAGAATGGGTCTCGTCGTAGTTGTCATGTTGTGTATCTCATTGTCATACTTATCGAGCACATTTGAGTTGAGCACATTTTCCTAATTCTGGTGAGGAATCAAAAGAAATTGAACTTCTTTACCTGTGTCCTTGAACCAACTGTACATTGCCTTTGGAGAAGTTTCAACATAACATTGCAAAAATACATCCTTGCCGACAGGAGCAACAATGAGTTGATTTGTGACCTTTATCACTGGATGAACTGAAAAAAGTTAAGCAAAGAAAGAATTATAAATTTTTTTCTTTGAGTTTGAACTTCCTAAAAAAATAAAAAAAGTCCCTAAAGGTTTTTTCTATATTTATATAGAATGTCTTTTATTTATGTACCATATGCTCTTGTTGGTCAGGAAACACTCTTATTTTGGATTATGTAACAATGCGGACATGAAAAGCTTACAATTGCAGCCGTTGGTATTATAAAACGATACTACCTGGCTCCACAGTGCATTCAAAGCACCTTGCTCTTTTACAATTTACGATTCACTCATTTGTTTTCTAATAAATAGGTATACATTCAGGGCTAAGGGCACATTTCAGCTCATTTTAGAAACGTTATCCATCCCATTAGTTTCTCCATGCAGATAGGTGCTTCGACAAATAAATAAGAATCAGTAATGCCTCATCACAAAATGCAGTTGAAATTTCAATACGCATGTACTTTAAGTTCTTTTGAACTTTTCAATGTATAATCTCTGAGTCAATTTAAATTCATTTATTCTGAGTTTGAATATATACTGATTCCCGTTAAAGTTGAAAATATCACCAAAAGATACAAGTACGAATTAACTTACAATGGACTTGTACAAAAAATCTCTTGCTGACAATTGGAGGCACTCCGTTGCTTGCAATGCAGAGGTACATCCCCATGTCGGTACGATGAACATTTTGTAGCAGCAAATTTTCATTCTCGTGGAACTTGACTGCTGTGAACAATCATTGATGTCTTTGTAAAATTCCTTTTTTAATATTGAATATTTCTCCAGAAACATCAGTTGTATCTGGAGTGTAACACACTAGTGAGCAGTAATGATTGTAACTCTTCTTAAGTTTGGACGTTTTAAGCCAATTATGGGTGGATTTTATCAATTTTAATCTCACCATAATTGTAGAGCATAGTAAACTTGGCAGGAAATTTTGTGCGCTGCACTAGGAATACTTTCCTGTCCCATGTGTAATTCCCTTCCCTCTCCGTCAAGGTACTCTGTTTTTGAAAATTTTCAAGCTCAAAACTTTTTTTCATGCTTTCAGCTGAAATCAAGTTTGCAAGTCAGTATTTTAAATTTGTTCTAATAGGAAAATTTGTTTCTAGATTATGCCTGGGAAAAAGAAAAAACTTAATGCCAAGAAAAAAGCAGAAAATCAGAGACATGTGGAACACCGGAGACAACGTGAGGAAGAAGAAGCAGCCAGACCAAAAAGTTTCAACGAAGCAGGACCCTCATCTGCTCCAGGCTTTGCAAAGAGGAAAGAAGATTGTTGCTCGGCCAAACATCATCACTCGGACCATCATCACCACGATGATCATCACTCTACAGACTCATTTGATTCTGAAGGAATATTCGACCTTGAAGAACAGATAGATCTCATGGATCTTTCAAATCTATCCGATCCAAACCAAGACGGCATTTCCTTCTACAACTTTGATCAGTACAATAATACCATCCATACAGGGATAGCCATTGTTCAGGAACCGGTTCAAGATGAAAAGCATTCTGGGTCAGAAAACGAAGCATCAGATCCGCCAAAATTCAAGGGCGAATCTGGTTATATAAGAACTGTGAGTTTAGCGTCAAGGAAAGTCAATAAACTTTCAAGACCTCACCATATAGACTTATACGACTTATACTTCCAGCTGTCAACTGTGCTGGAATACTTGAGTAATTATACGGTGCAAGTACTCGTTTCCAAGAATAAAGCTTCACGGAAGCCTTTCTTGAAGAAATTAGGAGCAAATAATATTAATGAAGACTTACAGAAAGTTCTTGATGGACTGCCTGAGTTTAAAGAGAGTCATAGGAAGCCTATAGATATTGAAGAATTTCAAGCTATACCAGAACAGAAAAAATCAGATTTAAGAAAGTACATCAATAGTCTAGCTCCTCTGCCACAACCGGAGCCGGAACCTAATAACCATGCTTACTTTGAGCGGGGAGATGAAGGAGAGGGAGTTTTGACCAATGATGAATTCCCAAATCCTTTCGCAAGGGTTGGAATAGAAATTGTCGAAAACGAAGAGCCTGTTTTCAACAATCAACCTAATACTACCGATCTTTCTTTACCGCGGTTGTCAATGTTAGCTGCTTTAATCGGTCAAAAGAGAAATTATAAAAGAGTTCGACCAGCATTGACAAATCGCTTGATTGTCGACAATCTGCCAAAAAGATATTTGTCCAAGTTTTTAAATTTGATGACGACTGGGTTTTGTTTCCTTGGTAAACTCATAATAGAGAGCCTTCACTCAGATGAAAAAATTAACCGTGGAAATATTTTTGATTTTCAAGATGGTGATGTAGGTTTTTGGTGGGCAGGAGTAATAATTCTAGATTGGAATGAATATTTGTTAAGGACTGTAAATGGAAAGCCCAAACATAAACCAATTTCTTGTATAAATTACATAAAAACTGTCGGCGAAGGTTCAGTTGCATTTAAAGCAATGTTGAATCTCGGCCCAGACGGTCTGTATTTCACTGATGAAGATCAGAAGAATTTTCAAGAGACTATTGAACGAATAAAACACAAACGTCTGACAGCCCCCAAACCAGAGGGAGCGGATGACGATCATGTTATTGCAAATGTTTTAGAACTTTGAAGATCAGTTACTAGAAGAGGATTTCTTGTAAAAGCTTGATCATCAGTCGTATTTTGTTCGAAGACAACACTAGCAACATGTTGCTAAAACAAGCAACAATCGCATTTTGTCCAGGTTGTTTTGCGTTCTGAGGGTAGGGCTTATTTTCGTGCTCAAAACTTAGGAACCACGGAAGCAACATTGTTGCACATCAACTGCAACTTGCTCAGAGTAAGTCGTTTTTATGTTGTTGCTCAAGACAACGCTGTTATCTAACCTAAAACTCGAATGCGCTCTCTCATTGGTTGTTCAGAATCGTGTAAAAAAAAAAAAAAAAAAAAACAAGAAAGAAAAACCAGAATCAATTTGTTGTTTCAAACAAAATATGACTGTTCTCTTTCTAGCTATTCACAGCAAGCACAGTGGCTCAATCAGAATCTAAGTCTTAAATCTGGAACTTTGTATGTACAATGTATTTTTATTGCATAATGTTCAATTTCTTTCATTGGGGTCTCATATACAATGCTTCTGTTCCTTTTTAATTAAGATCAAAAATAGTCAGTCAAAACCACACAATTTGAATTTATTATCAAGGGTTCTTTTTCGGTAAATGTTTAGTCTTGATATCACACATTCTGTGAGCTAAAACAGATCTTCTCTTCTTCTCAGAAAGTATGATTTTAGGTTTTCAAAATCACTGATATTGGGAAATCGCACAACTTTCAGAACTGCTGTAGTTGTATATCAATGGTAAAACTTCAGAAAATCATATTTTGATTGCCGCGTTTTAAACATCCGATCTTACTTTATTATATCAAAAGGGTTCAAATCAACAGTATTGCTTTAGGTTTTCTCTGAATCCTTCCACAAAGAAAAAAATTCCAAGAAGTTTTCAAAAAATATGTTGAGTCCTTTTTTTTAAAAAAAAAAAAACGAAGTAAGACAGGAAGTCTGCAACATTGCAAACGGACATGTGTGTCCCAACAGTTTCACCGTCGATATATGGCTAGGTCCATTTTGTTTGATGATCTGAAAAATTCAAACCAAACGTATCTGCTCAAATTTAAGCTGTTTTTAAAATTTCAGGATGGAACTTTCTATTAGTTAGTAATTATTATTTCAATATCAAATAAATTAAAATGATTGGCTTTTGATCAACCCTGTTGTCTTCGGTTAGTCCATCTTGTCTACTTTGGAAATACAGGATGCTTAATTTTAGACATCCTGGAATTTCCTTCTTTCTCTTTTGTTGCCTACATTTTTACTGGCCTATTTTAATCTTTATGTTGTTTATTTTATTTTTCCTATACTTTAGTGTGTTAAGGAAGAAGGGCAAAATGAGTTTACATGTCCTTAGGTGAATCGAAATGCCAATTTATCAATTAATCAATTATTTTCAATTTAAAGAAATTTGAAATTTTCAAAACATTTTTTACTCTCGTGCATGTAAAGTGATGAAGAAACAACTTGTTTTGTCGGCATAGGCTGGAAATCCTGTGCGACAAATACAGCTAAACGCGTCTGTTTTCAATCATTTGACTTGCAAGTGAGTGAAATATGTATACATGCTTCAAAATTTATATTTTTTTTAAATTTTGAAGTTTCATTGAACTACTAAGTTTCATGCATGTTGGCAAAATTGCCAGCACTCTGTTCAAATTTTAGCGAAACTCATGCGGCGGATTTGCCATATTTTATTTTATATTATTCAACCCGTTTTGTCCTTTCAATTGACTGGCATTCAATATTTTAGTTATCATGAGTTCAGCAAGTAATGTTCTTCTAGTAGGTATTTAATTATTCATGAGAGGCATCTCCACTAAAAGTGGAAAGCATTTGAACATACAGCTAGTCATGTTCCATATCTCATTTTGTGTACAGAAGAACAACTTATTTGTACGTCTTAAAGAATTTGAACCTTATTTTCTCCTTAATCAAAGTATGTGAAAGCACTCAATCAATCATTGCTGTGAACTTCTCAACAAAATTCTTTCAAATTGTGAATCATTATTTTCCATAAATAAGTTCCTTTTGTTTTGAGATAAATGAATAGTGCTCAAACTTAATTGTCCCGCAGTTGGAGTTCAATTATCGTGTACTTTTCAGCATGGTTATGCATTCTTAATTATCATATTCCTTCTTTGATTATTTGCTAGAAAAGGGATTGGAAGGTGCTTGCTGGAAATGCTTTTTACATTTTTCTGTCTGTTAGTCTTCCATGAAGGATGAAAATGAAGGAAATGCAGGCAATAGCGTTTTCTTCTCTATTTGTATATGCTAAGATTACTCCTGTATCTTAAAACCTGTCTTTTTCACCCTTCGTGAAAACAAATAATATTCATCTTATCATTTTACAACATAAGATCCAAAGGCCTATAATATTTTTGGGCGTATTTAAATTGCACTATAAATATGTCCTCTTTGTACTAGCTCAAGAATGTCTTTTCAGTTGTTTTAGGCCGAAGAGACCACTGCATTTATTAATATTCATCTTATCATTTTACAACATGAAATCCAAAGGCCTGATATTTTTTGGCGTTTGTAATTTGCAGTATAAATATGTCCTCTTTGTACTAGCTCAAGAATGTCTTTTCAGTTGTTTTAGGCCGAAGAGACCATTGCATTTTTAATTATGAACTCTCACTTGAGTCAGGAAATTCATGTGCTTAGGTTGTTCCCGGAATTAAGGAAAAAAGTTGTTACACTTGCCTGATTCATATCATTTTTATTCAAGAGTGAGTTTTCAGTGTGCATTTGTGGATTTCTTTTTTTTTATTACTGGCTAGTAATGTTGCTGTCAATCTCCCATTTTTCCTCAATCTCATGATGATAAATACTAAACTCAGGGATGGGAAGGTGAAAAGTATAATTTTTACAGGCCTGCCCCAACCTTCCAAATCAAAGTGATGTTTGATCATGATTTCTACCATAATTTTAGGTTTACATTTTTCTGAAAGGTTTCTTATCGTTTTTGTGTATTTATTGTATTTAATTGTGCCTTTACAAATAAATGAAGTAATAAGTACTATCCCTGCTTCTCATTTCAAAATGTATATTACTTATATGTTGAACCTTATTAATTAATGTTGTCTCCAACTCTTCATTTGAGAAACAATACTAACTGAGTACATTCAAAGGTCTTTTAAATGAGGAAAATACCATGCTGTCTTTCGTACTCCAAGAAAAGACGATATGAATGGTAAATCTTAAATTTTTTATCAGTGCTTTCATTTAGAAGACAAATTAAGTTGTTTACATCAAAAATGACCCAAATTAAGTTTGAAAAAATCGCAAAAAAAAAAAAAAAAATCCTCTTGGGAATTTTGCTTGCCTATATTTTTAGTAAAATTAAACTCTGAGTGAAATTTACTAATTTAGGTAAAAAAGTTTTGCCTTAGAAAAATAAATCTTTTTAAAAGTTCTCTTTCAAACATGATTAAAGTTTTGTAAAACTGCAGTTGATTTTTTAAGTTTTTTAAACATGTTTAAATTTACCTCTTGTAAATTTTACTTGAAGGAATACCCAAAAAGGGCCCTAAAATGCATATTTTAACAGTAACAAATATCAAACACGTATCGAAATTAAGGCTCCAAGACTGTGGGGACGCTTAGGTATCTCGGTTTGAAACGTTGCAGACTCATTGTCATACTTCATCTTTCAAATGGTAGAAAAACTCGATGTCATTTCTTGAAAACTTGACTGACTTTTCTCCTCTGCGTAAAAAATACTCCATGAAAATCTTAAGCAATGGTGTTGATTTGTTCTGCACTGATAAGATTAAATGGGAGTAGAATTTTGTGAACACCATGAACGAGATACGCTATTGCGCCGTTGATGAAAAAATCGCGTAAGCACAGAGGAAACTTGGGGAGCGAGAAAGTAAAAAGCACTTGATTAAACGCTGCGCAGCGGGCAGCGCTCCGTCGATGGTAACGCCTTGCGTTGGTGCAACTATTCGTGTTCAGAGGCTATCCTCACTGCATACACAAACAATTGAAGGCGTTCTGGATTTCCTGTTGCTTGCGGAGAAGCCATGGTCGCGTGGCGTCGTCGTATTGTTGCAAGCGGTGGAAAATTCAGTGGGCTGTATCTTTGATAGACACAGCGATAGACAAATAAGTCAAAGGGAAATGATGTGTATCCTATAAGGGCGGTTGCAATGTAGGTACAAAGGAGGTAAGTAATAGACTAACAAACGGCAATCCACAGGGGGCCCTATAGGTAGCCCATTTTCTCTCTAAGGCGACGACAGCCACCCGTTTCAGCCAATAGGATCGCTCCATTTTCCTTTTGGGTCTATTTTCTATAGCTTTGTCTATCCATTTCAATTATCAGCTTGCAGCAAGACGCGCTCCTCCAGTTTCACCCTCGAATCCTTCGATTTGTTATACAAGTACTACACTGCCGGTGCTAAGGAAAATCGCCGCATTAACATTCTTAGATTGCCAGATTTCTTGGGATAAAATATTCATTTTTGAGGATAAGTACTGATGGACCCCTTTCCGTGAAATTTTCAGGTACATTAGATTAAATTGCGACTAGAATCCTTCGATAAATGAGACCTCATACATATGTAACAGTGGCGGATGTGAAAAATTACCTTTTCGAAACACGCTTAAAAAACTGTTTTGTTCACACAAAAATTTAATATGTTTCGGCTCTGGCATAATGTATGTACAGATCTCGAAGATCACACCTCAAGTATTTTCTCAAAATTTTCTCGATGCCAATTAAAACAGTTTTTTTAATGTGTTTCGAAAAGGTAATCTTTCACATCCGCCATTGTCACACGTAAGTCCTCAAATAGAAAGTAAAATATTCACAAGTTTCCCTGAAAATTCGTATTCTATCGGGGAAAATTTGGGGGCTGATACGGCTTTCTTTCCTAACTCGGCAGTACAATCTTAGTACTTGTGTCGGACCGGGGTTATATAGTTCCGTGTGAAATTTACCTACCTACAAATCGCTCACCGAGCGTCATGCAAGAGACGGTTTTAATGGTTTATTCCTTCACTCTCCAGTCCACCCCTCAGAAAATACTGGAATTCGGTACTAACCCGTTATAAATTTGAAGGCGTTACAATTCCGCATATAAATTCCAGAGTGCCCGAGTTTATTTGGAAAAGTTTAATTTCAGTTTACTCAACGAAGCTTGAGCATGCATTTACGAGGCATAAAGAGCCAAAGGCGCTCCCTTGCCCCTGAACGCTCATAATTTTCGAATCAAGATTAAGTAATTGTTCCTTCTCCCGTCGTCTCTATTGCCCGTTGCGTAGGTATGTTGTCGCTCCCTTTTAATATACTTGAAATGAAGCGATCCTCTTGGTTGAAACGGTGGTTGTTGTAGGTAGACTAACAATAAGGGGAAAGTGATAGACTAACTGTAGGGTCTCCCGCGGCCGTGGGTTGCCGTTACTTAGTCTATTACCCACCTCCTTTATATATTGCAGCCACCCGCTTCCACTCATAGGATACAGATCAATTATTTTCCATTTGACTTATTTGTCTATCGCTTCGTCTAACGATTTGAATGATCAGCCCACTGAATTTTCCACCGCTTGCAACGATACGACGCCACGCGAGCGTAAGTGCTGAGTGGCTTCTCCGCAAACGACAGAAAATCCAGAACGCCTTCAATTTTTTGTGTATGCAGTGAGAATAGCCCCTGGACACGATTAGTTGTATCAGCGCAAAGACTTACTATGATCGGGGCGCTGCCCGCTGCGTAACGTTTATTCAAGCGCTCTGTTCTTCTGTGCGTACGCGTAAGTGGCCACCTTGGCCATTGATACTCCAAATAAGCGCGACTTCCTAAAGTAAACAGGAACAATCATCCAATTTTGTATTAATTTTAAAATATCTACTAGTTAGTAATCGTAAATTTTTGTTCAAGTCAAGTAGTTTTTAACGAATTTTAAAACGAAGGTAAAGTACGAGCGATAGAAAATCGCCTTGCACGACGCAATTGTGTGCGAGACAGACAGAAAATAGCCAGGCGGCTCGCAAAAGTGTGCGAGAGAGAAAGACAATCGCTCAGGTAAGAAGCGTTTAAGTGCGAGAGAGACAGCAAATAGACAGGCGGGACTTGGGTGGTTTTTCCATCAAAGCAGCATCGCGTTCCCCCGCGACCCTCCGAGAGTGGTTGCACCCTCGGTTGCCCCGTTTNGCCGCCTGGCTGTTTTCTGTCTCTCTCGCACACAATCGCGTCGTGCAAGGCGATTTTCTATCTCTCTCGCACTTATACGCTTGCTACCTGGGCGATTTTCTGTCTCTCTCGCACTTATACGCTTCCTACCTGGGCGATTTTCTGTCTCTCTCGCACACATAAGCAGGCCGCCTGGCTATTTTCTGTCTCTCTCGCACACAATCCCCCGCGACCCTCCGAGAGTGGTTGCACCCTCGGTTGCCCCGTTTCAGGGCACCCAGTGCGAGTGAGACAGAAAATCGCCCAGGTAGCAAGCGTATAAGTGCGAGAGAGATAGAAAATCGCCTTGCACGACGCGATTGTGTGCGAGAGAGACAGAAAACAGCCAGGCGGCTCGCTAAAGTGTGCGAGAGAGACAGAAAATCGCCCACATAGGAAGCGTATAAGTGCGAGAGAGACAGCAAAAAGCCAGGCGGGACTTGGGTGGTTTTTCCATCAAAGCAGCATCGCGTTCCCCCGCGACCCTCCGAGAGTGGTTGCACCCTCGGTTGCCCCGTTTCAGGGCACCCAGTGCGAGGGAGACAGAAAATCGCCCAGGTAGCAAGCGTATAAGTGCGAGAGAGATAGAAAATCGCCTTGCACGACGCGATTGTGTGCGAGAGAGACAGAAAACAGCCAGGCGGCTCGCTAAAGTGTGCGAGAGAGACAGAAAATCGCCCACATAGGAAGCGTATAAGTGCGAGAGAGACAGCAAAAAGCCAGGCGGGACTTGGGTGGTTTTTCCATCAAAGCAGCATCGCGTTCCCCCGCGACCCTCCGAGAGTGGTTGCAGCCTCGGTTGCCCCGTTTCAGGGCACCCAGTGCGAGAGAGACAGAAAATCGCCCAGGTAGCAAGCGTATAAGTGCGAGAGAGATAGAAAATCGCCTTGCACGACGCGGTTGTGTGCGAGAGAGACAGAAAACAGCCAATCGGCTCGCTAAAGTGTGCGAGAGAGACAGAAAATCGCCCAGGTAGGAAGCGTATAAGTGCGAGAGAGACAGCAAATAGCCAGGCGGGACTTGGGTGGTTTTTCCATCAAAGCAGCATCGCGTTCCCCCGCGACCCTCCGAGAGTGGTTGCACCCTCGGTTGCCCCGTTTCAGGGCACCCAGTTCGAGAGAGACAGAAAATCGCCCAGGTAGGAAGCGTATAAGTGCGAGAGAGATAGAAAATCGCCTTGAGCGACGCGATTGTGTGCGAGAGAGACAGAAAACAGCCAGGCGGCTCGCTAAAGTGTGCGAGAGAGACAGAAAATCGCCCAGGTAGGAAGCGTATTGTGAGGAGATGCGAAAGTTTCCATAGTCAGGATCGGTCATGATCGGAAATGACCGGT